GGGCAGAAAATGGTCTACAGAGGAGACAAAGTTTATGCTTTGAACTTTAAAAGACAGCAGTGAGACTGACATCCAGCTTATGTGTCTTAGAACACAACGTCTTCCTCTTGTCCATTTTTGAATATATGACGTATTAAAGACGCTTTCCTGAGTCTGACGTAATCTTAAAGTAATTAAAAACACAACCGTGCCAGCTGAAAACTCAGGTAACACACTGCTGCTCGTCTCACGCAGACCGGACTATGTGATGCTCATTCCGTCTACACTAAGCGGTGCTCTATACATGCGCGTAATTTTGGATTGGATTATTTGTAGTGTGCATGTAAACTGAGATTTTCCATCAGATTGCTGAGTACAGTGCATATTAACCTCAGTCTTCGACTATAATAGGAATGTATTCAATCAGACTGGCAAAAATCTTTGCTTGTAAACACAGCCATTGAGAAGGAAGGGAAATACATTTTCATTGTTTTTAGTTCTAGCTAACACCAGCAACAACAGTTAGACTAATCACAGCTGCACTACCTCTGCATGTCTGTAACAACATGTCCTTGGTAATGTTAAGGCACTCATGTTTTTCTTGTAGCAAACTATAATATAGGCCTACTTACTAAACTACAAACAAAAGCGTTGCACTTCACAGCCCTGTTAGAACTAAATAGCGTTTCACCTGTTTATTTTTTCCTGACATTCCATGACAACAAATACCCCAACAGTGGTTTAAGACTTTTGATTTTCTCCTGCCTTTACCTGGTGCAGCGAATACCCAAACAGTGATTTCAGTACTCAAATACTGACATCTGGAATGATCAACTGAGTCCTCGCTTTGCTTGAGGGACTGAAAAAAGTTAAATGAACAATTTAATACCAGAATGTACTTTGAGAATACTAAGAAACAGAGAGAGAGAGAGAGACAGTGCAAGGAGAGAGAGAAAAGGAGGACAGACATGAAAAGCATTCCATCTAGACCTCCATCTGTAGCTGGACTTATAAATTCTCTCCTTTGACCTTGCTTGAGCTGCTCAGAGAGAAATCCTTGAAAGAAGAGAGGAGAGTTTGACAAGTTGTGCTGCAGCTGTGATCCACACAGTTACACGTTTGGCTGGCTATCGGCGGGCAGCTTACCTGGATATGACAGAAGGAGGGGATCTGTGTCTGTGCGTGTGTGTTTTTTATGCTTTGGGGGGGGTCTATCTGCTTTCTGAAGTGGAGTTGAACTTGAAAATTAGCTCACTCACACACACACACACACACACACACACTCATGCACAGTGTTCAGTAATAGGTTTAGGGACACACTCCATCAGCAGTACCGCTGCAGGGTGACTCTCATCCCCAGATCAACTCTCCAGAAGCCTGATTCATCTCTTTTCATCTCCCTCCATCCCTTCTGTCTGTCCCACTCTGAACACCTTGCTCTTTCTCACCACATTATACAAATACAAACACAAAGGCCTATGCCCACTTTCTCTCCCCATCTTCCCCTTTATCTGCTTCTTGTTTGTTCTCTTTCTCTCTCACCCCCCAGCTGTGACACCCTCCTGGCGGTTCAGCGGCCTGCAGAAGGACGCCGGTGACGCTGCACTGCTGCAGTTTGCCCATTATACCTCCTAGAATGGAGCAGGGCTTAACTCTGCCCCACTATTTGAACAGGTAATTAAATCTCTCATGGTGGCAGGGTTCTAAATAAATTGGCTATTTAAAGATGCCTAATAAAGGACAGGAGCGCTCCAATAACCCTCCAGGAGTAGAGGAGCATCTCAGCCAAAAAGAGGAAGAGCTAGAAAGAGAGAGTATGATTGGGCCAATTACTGTTAAAAAAAAAAAATATATATATATATACAGAGAGAGAGAGAGAGAGAGAGAGAGAATGAAGGCCAAAATGAGAGATAGAGAAAGAGACTATTAAAAACAGAACGCAAGACAGAGGGTATATGAAGAACAGAAAGTGAGAGAGAGAGAGAGAGAGAGAGAGAGAGAGAGAGACAGAAAGAAAAAGCATGTGAGTGAAAAAATTGAGAAAAAGAAAGAAAGAATGAGAGAGAGAGAGATAGATAGATACAGAGAAAAAAGGCAGAGATAGAGAGAGAAAATGGACAAAAAGAGAGAGAGAGAAAGAGAATATTAAAACAGAAAGCAGGACAGAGAGTATATGAAGAACAGAAAGTGAGAGAGAGAGAGAAAGGAAGAAAAAGAGAGAAAGAGGGAGAGACAGAAAGAGAAACTGAGAAAGAGACAGACGGAGAGACAGAGGGAAAGTCAGAGGGAGAGGGACAGGGGAAGAGACAGAAGAAGTGACAGATAGGGAGAGACAGAGGGAGAAACAGAGGGAGGGACATAAAGAGGGAGAAACATGAGGAGAGACAGAAAGAGAGAGAGACAGAGGGAGTGACAGAGAGAGACAGACAGAGAGACAGAGGGACAGACAGAAAGAGAGACAGAGGGTGAGACAGACAGAGGGAGAGACAGAGGGAAAAACACTCTAGTTTATGCAGAGGAGAGAGCGAGAGATTAATGAAAGATGCAGGGTGAGGGGAGAATGTGCATTAAGGCAGCAGGAGGAGCAGAAATGTGCACAGAACCTGAAGCGCTCTCCATCAGTCTTCATTCACACACACACACAGACACACACACACACAGACAGACACACACAGACACACACACACGCACAGACACACGCACAGACAGACAGACACACACACCGACACACACACCGACACACAGACACACACACACGCACAGACACACACAGGGCTGCCACCACACCCAATTCAGCACAACACCTAGAGCAGCGGCTCTTATCTCATGACAGGAAATAAACAATACACTGAGCTGAAGATAGAGGGATGAAAGAAGAACAGATCAACACACAGCTAGATAGAAACGTGGGGTGTGTGTGGTCAGTGTACAGGAGGATCTCACTGAACATTACCACCCCCACAAAAAGCATTAACGTAACGTTTTAACTTCCTGTGTGAAGCACTTTCAGACTTGGTAACTAAAATGAAAAGCATGGTGTTTGGCAATGGTGGATGGCAACTAGTGATCATGATGATGGTGACTGATGATGAATATCGTGATAATGGTGAATGATGATGACTGATGATAATGATGTTGACTGATAATTATAATGATGTGGTGATGGTCATGATGGTGGCGATGGTCATTATGACGTGATGATGTTTGATGAAGATGATGGTGATGATGGTGATTGTGGGTGGTGGATGGTGACTGGTGTTCGTGATGGTGACTGATGACTGATGGTTATCTTGGTGATGGTGAATAATTATTATTATTGTGATGGTAGTGGTCATGATTAATGACGGTGATGATTATGAGGGTGATTAATGATGATGCTTGATGATGGTGGTTGATTGATACTTGCTGATGATTGTGGTGATTATTATTATTATTATTATTATTATTATTATTATTATTATTATTATTATTTTTATTAAAGTGTAAAGGCAACCTCCTTGGTGGTATGCATAATGTTACTACCGTTAATGTTAGTGTACAAATCAGTATTTTTCCACATTACACATGAAACATTTTCCACGTTTAGCTTTGAAAAGCTTTTTGTTTTTTTATAATTCCCAATATTCTCTCATCAAACTGGAAAATGGAAAGTCTGAGCTTTCTTCTAAGACAGCAAGGCAGAAAACAAGACAGGAGAGGAGAGGAGGGGAGTGTGTGTGTGGTGTGTGCATCAAGAGTGTGCAGGAGAGAGAGACAGTGTGAGAGAGGGAGAAACAGAAACAGAAAAAAGAGTGAGAAAGAAAAAAAAAAGAGTGAGAAACAGAGAGAAGGAAAACAGATGAAGAGAAAGAGAGAAATAGGAGAAAGAGAGAGAGAAAGAGAGACATAGAATAGAGAGAAAGAGAGAGAGAGAGAGAGAGAGAGAGAGAGAAGAGAAGAGAAAGAGAGATGCAGTTAAGAGATTGGACATCCATGATAAAGTGGAACATTAAAAGGTTCCCTGACTGCCTACTCTTCAAAGCTCAGCTGCACCATAATACAGCTGCTCTCCTCTACTTAACTGTCTATCACACACATGCATGTGCGCACACACACACACACACACACACACACACACCCTGCTCCTCTCCTTATCAAAGACTGCTTTCATTGAATTCTTGAGCTAGAGCTGGCAGAAACAAAAAAGATTTCAGTAAATAGTGGACGCACAGAGAGCCGCAATCCCCTACAAACGCTGCTTATTGGACAGTACTCTCTTAATGCATTGTGCAAACATAACAGTTTATTCTGGCTAATTAAAGATAAACATTACCTAACCAGCCCTAGCCTCTCTTCACACCATCTCTCTCCAACACTCCAAGAGAAAAAGCTGGAGTCTGCATCTTCCCCTCAAATCAATGCACTCTATCTGGGCCCATGAGTTTGTCTGGTAAATGTAGAGCACTCAACGTGTCTGAATGTATCCATGGGTAGAGACTATAGGCCAGTGTGACTCATATGTTATAATAAGATTCAAGTTCTGAACTCCCACATCTTCATAATGGAGAATGATTTTAGCTCTGACAGATCTCACAATGCAAAAGAGAAAACAAGAAAACTCCAACACGTGATCATCCTCTTCAGAAAAAAACATGTTTCATAACTGGCTGTTAGCTAGATCAGCACCAATGTGTCTCACTGCTCTCACTCTTTATTCTCTGGCTCTCATAGTCCCTCTCCACAGCAGCACTCTAGACAAGCTGTCACTTCCAGCATTTTGGGCCGTGCATCTTTTCTTGACTAAGGCATTAGCGCTAAAACATCTTTAACCATTTTACTCTAAACACGCCATGCGCTGATCTGGAGCGCATCCAGAGCTGCTGCTGCTCCTGCTTCAGCACTTTTCCCCAAAGGTCTGTGGAGAGAACGTTCTGCTTTAATAACCTGCCGCTGCTGAACTCTGGGGCTTCCTGCCTCATTGCTATGGACTTTGGAGAGCAATGTAAAGCAAATAATTGACCTCTGCGGTCACATGGCCTTACCTTGACCCCCCGCACACGGAACTCGGCCAGGGCGCGGCTCATCTTGGCAGCAGCGGCAGGGAGGTCCTTACCGCTGGAGATGACTTTAACCAGGAGAGAATCGTAATGGGGGGAGATGAGCGCACCCTGAAAGGCAGAGGCACTGTCCAGCCGAATGCCCATACCTTCACCACTGCGGAACACCTGAGAGACAGAAAGACAGAGAGAAAATGAAAAAAAGAAAGAATATATATAAATAATTTTCTTTTTAAAAGGGAACTGGACCAGAAGCCCAATCAGGAACTGACCTATCCATGCATAAATTCAATGCCACAGATGAGATAAAAACATTTTTAGGCCTTTTTATCAGGTATTTAGAATAATTCATCATTAATTATTATATATTAACATTCATTTCTAACAGATACATAAGCTGTCAATTCATAATGAAATAATGAGCTTCTGCTTCACAATGAACAAATCGTGTTTTACTAAGTTTAAAAAGTAATATAAGTCCACATATATTAATATATACTAATATATGCCTACTTTCCGAAGCACCTTTTTACATCCATGCTATTGTTTAAAGGTGAATTAATGATTAACAAACTACAAATTCAGATATTATTTACTATTAGCAACTATAATATGTGAGTATTTACAAAAGACAATCTCAAAGAAAATATTAGTACCGTCTGGTAATGCAAAGTGCCTATAAATAAAATACTAAAATGTAGGACAGAATTGGGAGATATTAGTCCATAAACGACATCAATAAACATTTCTATACTCCTGGAAAGGAGGGGTAACACATGGGTGGAAACATTAATGATAAGATAGAACTACCTGGGAATAGACAGAAGACAGTGGAGCTGAGAAAAGGATGCTGCGACATCACTATAGATCAGAGGCTACAAAAATGTTACAGATAATTTATATATAATTAAGTAATTTGTAAAATATGATTAAGTAATGGTTTATATGTGTCTTACAAAGTAATTCAGAATTAGTTAATTATGAACCAGGAGTTAAGAGTAAATATGCTTCCATAAAGTAATCATGAACACTGTCAAAACCGTCCGAGGAATGAGGAGAGAATATCTGGGCGAGGTACAGTTCACATACTAGCAGTTAGCCAGGGGCGGATTTAGTGTTTCTGGGGCTCAAGGCAAAAGACAGGAATGGGGTTTTTTAAAGGCTCTGAGCACAACTGTGTACTCTGCAAAAATGATATTTTAGCAATTAAAATCACTTTAAATCTAGTCAATATATGCAATGTTTCTCATGCTGAGACTGTTGTAGAAATGTTGTAAGATTATATAACTTATCTGTGAACATTTCTAGACATTCTAAATATTACTTTAGTAATTTTACTGAGTGAAATTCACACTATATTGGCATATGAGTTTGCCTGTATTAAGAAATACGCTTGAAACAAGTACATTTTTTGCCAACATAGGCTACTTTCACATTACAGACCTCATTGCTCAAATTCGATTTTTTTGCTCAGATCCGATGTTTTTAACATGGTGATTCACACTTATTTAGGTAAGTGACGCAAATCTGTCACTAACTTGAATGAACCAGTATCCTGAAATGACCCACACGCGCACATCCTACTCAGTAACGTCACGTGAATGAATCATGGACATCATGAACAGCAAACTAATGAGCAGAATGAGCCTTTGCTGCAAAGATAATTAACCCTAAACATGCTCTCAGCGGTTCATTATTAGAGAGAGGCAAAGGCGAAAAGGGTGAAATGTGTTGTTTTTCCACCCTTTACAGGCTTCTGTTCGGCGCTGCTGCCATGGTAACGCTGAATGATGGTGCATGCGCAACAAGAAAAAAAAAGGACATATATTTCGTGATCTGAGCGTTCACAATGCGAATCGGATACATATCCAATCTAGGACCACATATGAAAGTGTCTCTGGTCAGATTTGAAAAGATCAGATTTGTGTGTCACATTCGGGCAAAAATTCGGATTGGTGCCACTTAAACCTGGTAATGTGAACATAGCCATAATGAGGTAATGTAGAGTAAGATAAGATAATCCTTTATTAGTCAGCAGCAATGGGATAGCAAGGCACTCAAAAACAGAGTAATTACTTAACAATATTACCGTTATTATTACTTATTACCATATATACAAGATATATATAAAGATAAAAAAATACACTAAAGATAAAAAAATATAAACTTTATCCTTCCCAAAAATGAACAATATAAACAGCAATAACATTGTGAGTGACTCAGAAGTAAACTAATTGTTGGGATTTTTACCAGGAAGCAACTGGTGATGTAATCCCATTACATGTTGAGAAAAGTAATGAATAACTTGAATGGGTTACTTTCTCTGAATGATCACCCAACACTGGATCTATACTAACATTAACTCTAGCATTATGTACAGTCTGCTGATCCCATGCAGCACTCTGCTCTGACAAAGTTACCTCTAGAAGAAAGCACTTTTCTTGGGAGACGTGCTAAGTGAACACACACACACACACACACACACACACACACACACACACACACAGACTGAAGAAGAAACACACAAACCTACACACATTGAACTATCACCCAATTGCCAGCAGTCATTTGCCACCGCAATTGTGCTCCGTCTCACCCCCTGACACACACATTAGAGCCATCAGAGAGGCAATGATGATGTGAGAGAGACAGAGAGAGAGTACAGAGGGGCAGAGAAAGCAAAGTGAGTGAGAGAGAGAGTGAGGAAGGAGAGAGGTAAATAAAGAGTGGAGAGAAATCAGAGGGGAAAAAAAGACTGGAGGAAGTTTGTGGAAAGCGACTCAGAAACAAGTGTCATTCTGCGGGTAGCGGCGGCGATCGCTCAACGTCAGTCGCGCTGCCGCTTCCGCCATTAGATGTGCTAATGGACAGCGAACCCGCCAGAGATTACGCCTGTATCGCCATGACAATCGCCCCACTCATTTTCTAGCACTTAAATTGGGTGGAAATGGGATGTGACATGGTGTTAAAGGCCTGGTCAGCGGAAAAGACAAGCATAAGGAAGCTTGGCCACTGCTCACGCTTTTATGAGCGACTCAAGTGCGGGCATTGCCTCTGAGAACCAACCGACTGCAATTTCGAATCATGGCTGAAAGGGGGAACACATGAAAAAGAAGCTTATGTTGTTTCCCACTCACTTCACAGTGGACTGCTCAGGCCAGCTAGTATCTAAAAGAAGGCAAGAAAGAAAGCAAGTGAGACGTGATCACGGCTTCTCGAGGGCCACGCGCTGCGCTGCTCATCATCTGATAAATGTTTCAGGACAGGATTTCAGCGGCCGCTCGCTTGATCTGGGTCACGGGGAGAGCTCTGTAGGAAACGACGCTCAGAAGAGATCAGAGAAGAACAGAAAGCAAGCAGAGCTCAATATGAGTCAGACACATTCTCCTCTCTCTCTCTCTTTCTCTTTCTCTCTCTCTCTCTTTCTGTCTATCAGGATTTAATATTCAGGATTCTTTATAGCCAGACCAGAGCACTGAACAAAACATATAGAGCCAGATTCATAAATACATAGTCCTGCAAAAAATAGAGCCAGAACCACTCTGGCGGTAATTTACACCAGTAAACTCTGTAACTGCTGTTGCTGAAGTACACAAAGAGGAAAAAGGCTTGATGAATTTCAGCTTGGCAGATTTAACTGGCACTGTAATTAAAAAGGCCTCGTGTTAAATTCAATGTTTCACAAAACGGTCTCATGAATATGAAAAGCAGGTTTAGCTTGTGCTCTAAATAAGTGAAGAGTCATGTTGAGATTCTAGTTACATATTCAAATTGACTTTTTTGCAAGCAGTTTTAGATTTAATTCCTATTTTTCAATGTACAATGAATTTTACAAGGCATTTTAATTCACAGTGTGATGTGAAAATGACATTTTTACTAATGATAATTCATTTCTTACTAAGTTTTAATATTTACAAAATTTAATACCTACTAGTTGAAATTTAATTTTCATTGAACTCCTGAGATAGTAATTAGAATTTCAACATTTCAATTTAACTTTTATTGTGAAAAAAACATTAAAATGTTGAAAAAAATGAAAAAAAAGACTACCTGTTAAATTTTAATTCATGCTAATAAAATGTATTACTCCAATTATAAGGAATTGGAAAAAGGCTTCAATTCCTACCAATAAGGAAAAAAAACTCACATGCTAAAATATTCCCACAATAAAAAAAAAACATTTTAAAATGTCATAATTTGTTTTTCTTTATACATCATTTTTTTCTAGTATCAACATTTTCTTATAAAGAAAGTGCGTTTCTTGCTTAAAAATTAAAATTATTTTACAAAACAATTTACAATTATTTGTCGGCACTTCTTTCTTTAAAATCTGCAGCTCTGTTTCTGAGAATTTGTTTTTCTTTGATACATCTTATCCACTTTGGCAGCCAACAGGAGCTTTACTTGGCATGAGTCTTTAATATGTATGACCTCGTTTACATTTGGATTTTAATTGTACACGATAGCGGTGAAAATACTGGATCATTAAAAAGACACTGGTGCACTAATCACAGGCATGGTGACTTTATGGGCAGGTCTTTTTGTGTGGCGTAGCTCTGTTACCAGCAAGTTTAATGAATCTGAAAAGCACTGCCAACAGCATGGGATGCTCTGAACCTGCCACACATGAGCCTAACGTGAGTGCCAAGTTTCATCTAGAGGGGTATTATGCCCCCCAGCATCGGGCTGTGGAGCAGTGGAACCACATTCTCTTGACACCATTTAATACCTTTGGGATGAGCTGGAATGGCGTTTGTGATCTAGAAACTAATCATCCAACATCAGTACTTGACTTCACTACTGCCCTTGTGGCTGAATGCAATCAGACTCACCCAGCAATGTTCCAACATCTAGAGTAAAGTCTTCCTAGAACAGTAGAGGCTGTTACTGCTGCAAAGGGTAGAGTGGGATACTTGACGCTAATGGAGAAAATGTCAAAAATTCAATCATATTTTTTTTGTATTATTATTTTAAGCAGGGTTCAAAGCTCTCAGCAGAACTAGTTCACAGCACAAATATGAGCTATTCATGCTTACTGGGACTGCAAATCTGTTTGTTGACCTCCTGTTAAGAGCCCACCTAACGAGTGTGTAGCAGTCTACTAGATGTCTAATATGTCTAATACACCATGTTTAGTGACACCATATGTAAACCTGTCAGCTGTGTCT